TACCCCTGTTTGATTTATAATTCTTTAAGATTCGGTCAATTATTTCCCGAAAATTAGAAAAACCGGTTTCCAGAAAATTGGTAACAAAAAACTATACACATCATGGCACTTCTCGGAAAATTCTACCTCTGTTTCATATACTTTTGGTAAAAATTCGGTCCACTAACGAATGAGTAGTTCGCGGACAGACGGACGGACGGACGGACGGACAGACAGACAAACAGTCGGGTTTTATATAATAGTATGATATAATTATATAAAATATATATTTTTCTATATAATTATATAAAATTATATCTGATTTCTCACGTAAAATTATATATAATTTTATATAATTATATATATTAATATATTTTTATAGAAATGAATTAGAATTTTTCTAAATAAGTAAATCCTAAAATATATAAATTTATATAATCTATATATATAAGTCACGTCTGTCTGTCTGTCTGTCTGTACGCGAACTACTCATTCGTTAGTGGACCAAATTTTTACCAAAAGTATATGAAATAGGGGTAGAATTTCCCGGGGATGAAAATGTTGCGGCTTTTTTTTTGTTACCGATCTTTTTGGAAACCGGTTCCAAAATTTTTTCAAATTTTACGAGAATTAATTGACCAAATCTTAAAGAATTGTATATGAAGTAAGGGTAGAATATATATGTCCCAGAGAGTGCCATAAAGTGTACAATTTTTCGTTACTGATCTTTTTGGAAACCGGACTCATTCGTTAGTGGACCAAATTTGTACCAAAAGTATATGAAATAGGGGTAGAATTTTTCGGGGAGTGCAATGATGTAGTTAATTTTTCGTTACCGATTTTTGTGGAAACCGGTTCCGAAATTTCTTCAAATTTTACGAGAATTAATTGACCAAATCTTAAAGAATTGTATATGAAGTAAGGGTAGAATATATGTTCCAAAGAGTGCCATAAAGTGTACAATTTTTTGTTACCGATTTTTTTGGAAACCGGTTACGAAATTTTTTCAACTTTTTGGGAATTAATTGACCAAATCGTAAAAAATTGTATATGAAGTAGGGGTATAATTTCCCGGGAATTGCCATAAAGTATATAATTTTTCGTTACCGATTTTTTTGGAAACCGGTTCCAAAATTTTTCCAATTTTTCTGGAAATAATTGACCGAATCTCAAAGAATTGTATATGCTGATTTTTTTGAAACCGCGAGTTTAATTTTTCATTAATGTACTGATTTTTTTTAAACGTTTCCGATTTTTGTTTAAAATATCTACGTGGTTTTTTAAAAAATGTACATTAGAAGACGGTCAGGATGATCTATTGCTAAGAACAGCACTAAATTATGAAATGGAAAAAACTGCAAAGGCAAAAAAAAATAATTTTTTTTTATAATTTTCGAAAATTAAATCGTTCATAGGTCGATTAGTTTTAAATGAAATATGTTGTATGTAGGATTTGTTATCGATTTTCTGGAAACCGGTTTTTCTAATTTTTCGGGAAATAATTGACCGAATTTCAGAGTTATATATGAAACAGGGATAGAATTTTCCGAGGAGTGTTATAAAATGTATAATTTTTTGTTACCGATCTTTTTGGAAGCCGATATCAGAAATTTTTTAAATTTTTTGGGTATTAACCAGTTACTTCAATTCGTGATTGTCGGTTACGAAATTTTTCCAATTTCTCGGAAAATAACAAGTAGTTCGCGTCAGACAGATAGACATACAGACGTCAGGTACTTATATATATAGATAGGGGTAGAAAGAACTAAAGAATGTAATAGAATTAGAAAAATTGCTAATAATAAAGTGGTTTACAATCCACTTTTAAAAAAGGCGTGTTACCTGAGTGAATTTCGTTTGTATCGTAAAATTGAAGTCTCTTTTCCGCGATGCCGATTGGCTATCTCGATTGATTGCCGCGCCGTAGCTTGCTTCATCCCGTGAGGGACTGTCATCGCGGAGTGTGGCGAGTTTCGTGCGTGTAGTGCGTCGTGTGTGTCATGATGTGACAGCTCGCGTCGTGTCGCGAGGTTAATCGTCCCGCGTCGTGTCGCGATTATTATATAATAGCATAATGTTAAAGCTAAATTGCGCGCGCGAAGCGCGCGTCTGTAGTGTCTAGTTTCTGTAAAAAAAATATATATACGTGATTGCTCCAATTTCCGCAAACTTTGAGATATTAAGGGGATCCTGCAGTGACTGGCGAACTTCCTCGATGTCGATAATGTCAACCTTTCTAATTTTGTTTTCCCTATATCTGTCTTTGTCTAACGAAATGACATCTGTCCTTTTTTCGATTGCTCGCCATCTCTCGCAAGATCCGGCAACTACTGTTGCTGCTCTTTTTGTCATTTGCATCCGTATTTGCATTACTAAAATAATTTTTCGATGGATCTTTTTTTGTACGCATTGAATCTTACTTCTACTTGCACGATATTATTCCTACATGTTTTCCCAAGGGCAGATAATAAAAATTATGTATGTATAAACTGCAGAATTTTTGTTTTAAGCAAATATTGTCGTCAGGTGACAGCTGCGTATGTGCCCAAATAAGTAACATTTTTAATTTTTTGGCGTTTTTGATATAAAATCGCGTTTTCTGCCCTAGATTTTTGTGCGTACTTTAATTCTAGACCAAAAACTTGCAATTCTGTAAAGCCAATTAAAAGATCCATCGAAAAACGATATTGTCGGTAAATCATACGGCTGCAGGATCCCCTTAAGCTGAATTTTTTTATGGATAATTTTTTTGATGGATAATTTTTTGTTACCAATTTTTAAAAACCGGTTTGAAAATTATTAAAATTTTGAGAAATAATAAGTATTAATTGACCGATTTTTTTGAAACCAGTGCAAAAATTTTTTAAATTTTTGGAGGATAAGTGTTGGGGAGTCCAATTTGTTAATATAAGAATTGTCTCCGTCCGTCAGATGTATTGCGATATAATTTTCGTTTGCTTCTCACGCAAAAATTCTCGATTAGTTCGGCACCGCCGGAAGGAGCCGATCCGCGCCGAAGGCGAGCGCGCGTCAGCATCCCCACGCGGCTCGCCCGACCGCCGGCCTCCCTTCCAACGAACCCGCCGCGCCGCGGTATATAAGTCGGCGCTCCGACAGGAGCCAGCACTTCGTCTTAGCTCCGGCTCTCTGCTGCCTTCGACGAAGCCTACCCCATCCAATATCCCAGGGTACACGCAAAAGGAGGTCCGGTGTTCCGAGCCTCTACTGAGGGTTCTCAGAGTGTTCCCGAACTCCATCCAACTTACTCCCGACGGCCATGGTTAAGCGAGGTCGAGTGTGCTCAGCCTCGTAACGAGGGTTCTCGTAGCCATCGCCCCGGGTATTCGCACGTACCGATCGCGTTCTCGCCCGCGTGCAAATACAACATCACGGACCGCGCCGAAGGAGTATAAAATAAGATAAAACCGCGTTTCGGGAAATTCGCACTTTATGTAACACCGCGCTTCAAAACGATACGGCACAGCGCGCCGAGTGCATTCGCACTAATTTATCTGTAAACCTCGCGTTTCGTCAGTTTTGTTTTGATATATCGAATAAAGTTTATATATGTATTATAAATCAATTGCTGTCTTTTGGGCCTTCCACTCAACTTCCTAACAAGCGATCGAGTCCACGTTCAACTGAAACTCCGGTCGTCTCATAGTTAAAGGGCTGAACGAAGCCACTCGCAATTATCTCGCGTTCTCGCGGAACGGATTCGGCGATTCGTTCGACGCGTTTATTACGCGCCCGAACATAAATTGGTCCTTCGAGCCGGATCGAGATATTCAGTGCAGCCCTTCAGCCGTTAACATGACTGCCGTGCCGGAAGTCTCAGCTACCATCAACGACCTCCTGGCTCAACAGCAGGTGTTGATGCACTCCATCACACGAGCGCTCGATAACTTCAAAAAACTCGGAAGGAATAACTACACCGCTGCAAAGGTCCGAGCGCGAATCGCTAGCTCCAAAGAAGTCTGGACGCAATGCGTTTGCGTGCACTCGGCCCTCTTGCAAGTTATTCCGGAAGCGAAAAGAAGCACGTTCGACTATTTTCAAAGCGAACTGTTCGATCAGGCCGAGGATATCCACTTGACGACGTTGGATTACATGGCCGAATATCTGGAGGCACTCGCGCCAACGCCGCCGCCTCTGACAGCGAACCAGGCTCCGGGCGCCGCGTGCAGTCATGGGCCGCCTGCCTCCTCATTCTCACTGGCGCATCTGCCGCCCATCAACATTCCGCCATTCTCAGGGAAATATGAAGATTGGGAGACGTTCCGCGATCGCTTTACGTCTCTTATCATTAAAAATTCCGAACTTTCTGCATTTGCGCGAATGCATTTTCTCTCATCAAGCCTCGCCGGGCGGGCGCTTGAATCTATTCGAAGCATCCCAGTAACCGCGGATAACTTTGAACTTGCGTGGAAGGCCCTTGAGTCGAGGTACGAAAATAAGCGCCGATTAGTCGAGATGCATGTGTCCGCGTTATATAATCTGCCGAGCGTTTCCCGCGAATCAGCGAGCGAACTCAGCGAGCTTCGGGATAAAGCAAATCGCGCAATCACGTCACTGAAGAATTTAGATCGATCCGACTCCGACATTCTCAGCGACATGCTGATGTATAGCGTCACGCAAAAGCTTGATCCCGCCACTAGGAAAGCGTGGAAACTGAAAGGCGGGGATGACGCGCGAATCCCAATTTTCAGCGAATTCGACCGATTCCTCGATTCTCGTGCTCGCGCGCTCGAAGAATTGCATCCCGCGAATGTAGACAAACAAGCTCGCGCGCAGAAGGCGACCAGCGCTACAGCATCGGGAGCTTCTTCAATTTCGTGTCCGCTCTGTAAAGCATCTCATTCCTACACAAATGTCAAGTCTTTCTGAAGAAGAATCCGAGTCAACGATTGGAAGCTGTGAAAAAGGCGAATCGCTGTGTAAATTGCCTAAGCGACAAACACGCCGTACAGCTATGTCAAAGCAAATATTCGTGCCGAACATGTCGCAAAAGACATCATTCGATGTTGCACGTCGACTCGGACACTTCTTCCACGAAAGATACCTTTACCGCGAAAGATACGCCTGCCGCGGAAACTACTTCTGTCGCGACCACATCGATCCACGATGCCGCGCCCATCACGACATTATTCTCGAGCGCGAAAGTGTCGTCGATGCCTCCCGTGTTGCTCGCGACGGCAAGGGTAAGAGTCAGGTTCCCCTCCGAATCTCCGAACGGTCGCACTCGCGTCGTTCGAGCGCTTCTCGATCAAGGATCAGAAATGACCTTTATCACCGAACGATTGAGGCAAGGCTTAAGATTGCGTCGCGTGAGAATGCCCGTCTCGATCTCCGCAATCGGAGGCGTCGACGCCGGAACATGTCGATACGCGGCCGAAATTCAGATCTCGCCGATCGGCCAAGCTTCCCTCGCGTTCAAGACCACTGCGTCTGTCATGACAAGCTTAACGAAATACACTCCGTCGCCCGTAACGTCGCCAATGGAGCCATGTAGCCGATCTCGCGCTCGCGGATCCGGATCCTACGAACTCGGACCCCATTGACATACTCATCGGTGCCGACCTGTACGGCGATTTGCTGCTCGACGGCATTCGAAAGGGCTCCCGCGGTCAACCCCTCGCGCAGAATACCGTTCTCGGTTGGGTGCTGTCCGGCCCCGCGGCTGACCCACAAGCTCGTCCTCGAACAGTCACGGCTCAGAACTGTTCTAATACCCTGTCTCTCGACGAGGAACTCCGACGCTTCTGGGAAATCGAAGAAATCCCTCGCGCCATTCCACTGAGTCCAGAGGAGCAACAATGCGAAGATCACTTCCTCGCCACTCATTGGCGACGCTCCGACGGACGATACGTGATTCGCTTTCCGTTCAAAACCGGTCCCCCAATCGAGATCGGTAATTCTTATCACTCGGCCGAGCGACAGTTGAGAGGTCTTGAACGGAGACTAAACGCCGATGAGAGAGTAGCGACGGAATACCGCGCTTTTATGGAGGAGTACGAGCGACTCGGGCATATGAAGCGTGTACCACACGACGCAGACACGTCGTCTCAACACGTTTACATTCCGCATCACCCCGTGATTCGCGAAAGTAGCACCACCACTCGGCTACGGGTCGTTTTTAATGCGTCGAATCCGACGAGCAACGGCACGTCGCTGAATGACCACTTGCTAACCGGGCAAAAGTTGCAGACCGACTTAGCTGCCATTCTACTAAGATGGATGCTACCTCGATACGTGTACTCCGCCGACATTACAAAAATGTATCGTCAAATCGAAATCGATCCTCGTGACGTCAACTATCAACGAATCCTATGGTTCGATCGCGAATCTCGAACCATCATCGCGTTCATTCTGTTAGTCCTAACGTACGGAACGGTTAACGCTCCTCATGATGCGCTTCGCGTTCTGGAACAACTAGTTCGGGACGAGGGAGGCTCATTTCCGTTGGCGGTTCCGGTGATTCGAAAGGGCCGGTATATAGACGACTTTCTCTTCGGAGCGGACGACATACTGCTACTTCGTCAGACGCGCGATCAAGTATACGCGTTACTAAGTCGGGGGCGGTTCGAATTACGTAAGTGGGCGAGCAACTCTCCGCAACTTCTGGCCGACATTGACGTCGAAAATCACGGATTAGCGTGTTCGAAAACATTGCAAGCCGATGAGCAACTGAAAGTGCTCGGAATAAGCTGGAAGCCTGCCCTCGACGTGTTCCAATTCGACGTTTCGCTCCCTCCGTCCGTTCCCAAGACCAAAAGATCCATTCTATCCTTGGTAGCGAAAATCTTTGATCCGCTAGGGTGGGTCACGCCCGTGACAGTAAACGCAAAGATCTTTCTGCAACAACTCTGGCAGGCAAAAGTGGACTGGGACGAAGCCATCGCGGACGATCTTCTCGCGCAGTGGAAGACGACTCACGCATCCCTGGCGACGATCAATGGTCTTCACGTAGACCGTTGGGTACGATACGGTTCCGACACGGCGAACTGCGAACTTCACGGCTTCTGCGATGCCTCCACCACCGCGTTCGCGGCCGCAGTTTATATTCGCGTCACCTCCGTTACAGGCGAGACCACTTCCAGGCTGCTCATCGCCAAGTCAAAAGTCGCTCCGATCAAATCTTTAAGTATTCCTCGGTTGGAATTATCTGCTGCCGTTCTATTGGCTCGGCTGTTAGAGTTCGTGCGATCATCGCTACAACTAACTACCATACCGTGCTTCTGCTGGACGGACGCTCTCGTCGTGCTAGCATGGGTGACTCAGCACCCTTCAAAGTGGAAAACTTTTGTTGCTAATCGCGTCTCCGAGATACAATCCCGCGTCCCGTTCGCTACCTGGAGACACGTGCCAACCGAAGATAATCCGGCCGACTGCGCTTCTCGCGGCATTCTTGGATGCCATCTCGCGTCCCACCATTTGTGGTGGCAGGGGCCTTCGTGGCTGAGACGTCCTACGATTGAGTGACCCGCTCAACGCGAACCGTCGTCTCACGATACGACACTCGAACAAAACTCGCGCGTCACCGCGCACATAGTCAAGCCGGTCGAAAAGTGGGATTTAGCGGCGCGATACTCGTCGTGGCCGAAATTAATTCGAGTCACCGCTTATATCCTTCGGTTCGCATCCCGAACTCGCCGTATCAAAACTAACGTCAACGAGGCGAGTCCGCTCGCTCTCTCCGCGGCTGAGTGCCGAGTGGCACGAGACTTTTGGCTCAGACGAATCCAAGAGGAAGAATTTCCCGGTGAACGAGAAGCGCTCTTGAGCCAAAAGACGATCTCGTCGAAAAGCGCACTCAGATCGCTCAATCCCTTTATCGGGGAAAACAAATTAATTCGCGTAGGCGGGCGGTTAGCCCACGCTCCGCTACCGCTAGCCGCGAAACACCCCATCATACTCTCCTCTCACCCTCTGGTCCTTTTGCTAGTTCAGCACGCGCATATAAAGTCGCTTCACGCCGGCACGCAGCTCACACTCGCTACATTACGCCGGGACGTGTGGATTTTGCGCGCGCGAAATATAGTAAAGGCCGTAATTCACCGATGCGTAATATGCGCCCGCGAAAAGGCGGCAGTTCCCACTCCGATAATGGGACAACTGCCTCACGTGCGAGTCTCCCCTTCCGCGCGCGCGTTTCAGCATTGCGGTCTAGATTACGCAGGCCCAATGCGTGTACGCCCGATGTCCGGGCGTGGAGTCTCATCTCATAAGGCGTATATTGCAATCTTCATTTGCATGGCCACGCGCGCCGTGCACCTCGAGATAGTGGACGGCTACTCGACTCCCGCGTTCTTAGGAGCATATTCACGGTTCTGCGCCCGACGAGGCCTCCCCGCGTCAATCTACTCCGATAACGGAACAACGTTCGTCGGCGCGGACCGCGAAATTCAAGGAGCGTTTCGCGCGGCCCTACGCGATCCAAACTTCTTAAATCGAACCGCCTCCGATCAAGTTACGTGGCACTTCATCCCTCCAGCAGCCCCGCATTTCGGCGGGCTATGGGAAGCCGGAGTTCGAAGCGTGAAGCACCACCTTCGAAGAGTAGTGGGAGCTCACAACCTCACGTTCGAGGAATTCGCGACACTCCTGTGCAATATAGAGGCCTGTCTAAACTCCAGGCCGCTCGCCCCGCTCACCGATTCCGCTGACGAATATGAAGCGCTCACTCCTGGTCATTTCTTGATAGGCGCCGCGTTAACCGCGAGCCCCGAAGCCTCCGTGCTTCATCTTAATGAAAATCGGCTCTCGCGTTGGCAAGTGGTCCGTCAGACGACAGAACGGTTCTGGAAGCTGTGGCAAACCGATTACGTCAACACGCTGCAGCAAAGAGCCAAGTGGCGAAAATCTGGAAAGGAGCAAATCCGAGTAGGACAGCTCGTACTCCTTCAAAACCCGTTACTTCCACCGTGCAAGTGGGGTTAGGCCGCATAATCCAATGTTACGCGGGCTCCGATAATGTCGTACGAGTCGTAACAGTAAAGACCGCAACGTCCGAATTCAAGCGGCCCGTTGTAAAAATCTGCGTATTACCAATCGATATCGAAAACGCCGAAGCGCCGGCGTAACTTCGTACACCGTGCCCTATGCACTTATTCGAATCGCCTAAACTTAGCGACCGCCTCGAGCAACGCGCCAGTTCAGCCATGCGATTTCGAAACCAAGGTTTCGAGGCGGGCGGTATGTTGGGGAGTCCCCCAATTTGTTAATATAAGAATTGTCTCCGTCCGTCAGATGTATTGCGATATAATTTTCGTTTGCTTCTCACGCAAAAATTCTCGATTAGTTCGGCACCGCCGGAAGGAGCCGATCCGCGCCGAAGGCGAGCGCGCGTCAGCATCCCCACGCGGCTCGCCCGACCGCCGGCCTCCCTTCCAACGAACCCGCCGCGCCGCGGTATATAAGTCGGCGCTCCGACAGGAGCCAGCATTTCGTCTTAGCTCCGGCTCTCTGCTGCCTTCGACGAAACCTACCCCATCCAATATCCCAGGGTACACGCAAAAGGAGGTCCGGTGTTCCGAGCCTCTACTGAGGGTTCTCAGAGTGTTCCCGAACTCCATCCAACTTACTCCCGACGGCCATGGTTAAGCGAGGTCGAGTGTGCTCAGCCTCGTAACGAGGGTTCTCGTAGCCATCGCCCCGGGTATTCGCACGTACCGATCGCGTTCCCGCCCGCGTGCAAATACAACATCACGGACCGCGCCGAAGGAGTATAAAATAGGATAAAACCGCGTTTCGGGAAATTCGCACTTTATGTAACACCGCGCTTCAAAACGATACGGCACAGCGCGCCGACTGCATTCGCACTAATTTATCTGTAAACCTCGCATTTCGTCAGTTTTGTTTTGATATATCGAATAAAGTTTATATATGTATTATAAATCAATTGCTGTCTTTTGGGCCTTCCACTCAACTTCCTAACAAGCGATCGAGTCCACGTTCAACTGAAACTCCGGTCGTCTCATAGTTAAAGGGCTGAACGAAGCCACTCGCAATTATCTCGCGTTCTCGCGGAACGGATTCGGCGATTCGTTCGACGCGTTTATTACGCGCCCGAACA